TCTGCCCAGGGGATCCAGCCTGACCCAGACAAAATTACTGCTGTGAAAGACTGGCCATGCCCACAAACTGCCAAAGAGCTTAGGTCATTCCTAGGTTTCACGGGGTATTACAGGCAGTTTGTGAGGGATTATTCTTGCATTGTCAGGCCTCTCAATGACTTGTTAAAGGGAGAACTAGCCCCCAGGCATAAAGGCCAAAAACATTGGCCACGGACAAAGTCACCCTCACTTGGGGCAAAATGGACCCCTGCCTGCCAGGCTGCTTTCGACCTTATCGTTGAAAAACTGATTTCAGCACCTGTTCTGGCTTTCGCCAACTGGCAGCTCCCATACGTACTACACACAGATGCCAGTATGTCAGGCCTGGGGGCAGCGTTGTATCAGGTTCAAGACGGCCAGACTCGAATAGTAGCTTATGCTAGTCGTGGCCTCTCCAAAAGCGAAAAGAATTACCCTGTACATAAATTAGAATTTCTCGCCCTCAAGTGGGCAGTAAGTGAGAAGTTCCATGATTATTTGTATGGGGCTAATTTCAAGGTGCTGACTGATAACAACCCTTTGACGTATGTGTTGACCAGTGCGAAGCTTGATACTACAAGTCACAGGTGGCTTGCTTCTCTGTCGCTTTACAACTTTGACATACACTACAAATCTGGCCAACATAACACTGATGCTGACGGGCTCTCTAGGAGGCCTCATGGACTCTCAGAGGAGGACGAGGAGTCCCTGGAGACAGACAGAAAAATCTCCAGCATGCTGGACTGTGCTAGCTTGTCCCCTGAGGAGTTTAAAGTTCTCGATGGGGAGGCAATGAGTACTGTGTGTAAGCGTCATAGTGTCAATGTCAACACGATCTTAGGTGAAGGCACACAGACAGTCGACACTGTAATCCCTGCCATGGAAACACTCTTGTGCAATGACAGTGCGGTTCCTGATGACCTTGAGGATCTGGTCCCCCTACCTGGCCAGTCAGCCCTACCAGGAATGTCTATGGTGGACTGGTATCAGTTACAGAGAAATGACAGCTCTTTAGCCCGCATCATTGGCATTTTAGAGACTGGGGATGACACTTTTGACAGAAAGTCTGAGGAACCTGAGGTGGTTCTGTTTTTATGGGAGAAATCCTAGTTACCAGTACTTCTAGTTGATGGGGTGCTATACCGTAGAGTTTTTGATCAAAAGGGGGAGGCCTTCCATCAACTTGTCATCCCTAATAGCCATCGAGAGAGAGCCTTCCAAGGTGTTCATGATGAGACAGGTCACATGGGTATTGAGAGAACCTTAGAACTGGCTAGAGCGAGGTTTTACTGGCCAAAAATGGCTAGCTACATTGAGAACAAATGTAAAGCATGTGAGAGGTGTGTGAAACGAAAGGCACGAGTGCAGAAAGCCTCTAAACTTGTCAACATCAAAGTCAGTGGTCCCCTTGAGTTAGTGTGCATAGATTTTCTGACAATAGAACCCGATTCGAGAGACACCAGGAACATCCTAGTACTAACTGATCATTTTACAAAATATGCACAGGCATATCCCACGAGAGATCAGACAGCGAAAACGGTGTCCACAGTGTTATGGGAGAACTTCATCAGTCACTATGGGTTTCCTCGCAGAATCCATAGTGATCAAGGTGCTTGTTTTGAATCTGAAATAGTGGCAGAGCTTTGTAAACTAGCAGGGATTACAAAGTCCCGTATGACACCCTATCATCCACGTGGAAATCCAGTGGAAAGATTCAACAGGACTCTGTTGGACCTCCTCGGAACTCTGGAGGATAAGACAAAAGAGGAGTGGAGGAAGTATGTTCGCCCCCTTGTACATGCTTATAACTGTACAAAACATGACGCGACTAGAGAAGCACCCTTCCTTCTGATGTTTGGTAGAGAGCCACGCCTTCCGATTGACCTCTGTTTTGGACTTAGTCCACGTGGCCACAGCACCAGAACACATATTCAGTATGTACGAGAACTAAAGAGTAGGTTGAAGTATGCATACGACCTAGCCTCAAGAAATGCTGAGAAGAGACAATTGTTGAACAAAAGACGCTGGGATGCTAAGGTTACTGCCCTTCCATTGAAAGTGGGTGACAGAGTCCTGGTAAGGAATCTGAGCCTCAGAAAGAAACACAAAATCTCTGATAAGTGGGAGCCTATTGTGCACATCGTTGTTAAGCAGCCCGATGAGTCTATCCCAGTTTATGTGATTAGGCCAGAGGATGCAGAGGGTAGAGAGCGAGTTCTGCATCGTGACATGCTTCTTCCCTATGGGTTCCTACCGGTTAACCTGCAATGTGACAGTCAGGATGTGCTAACCAGTTCGGTTCAACCTCTCATGAGAGCGGATGCAGGGAGCAACACAGAAGAAACTCAGCTGGAGGAGGAGTTTGGGCAAGACGAGGAAATAAACTTTACATCCAGCCAATTTCCTGACAATGACTTGTTGGCGGATCAAAGGGATGTTCTGGGAGAACAGGAGGCGTCCCAGCCACAGTATCCTTTGAATCCTGGGGCACCTGAATTCATTCTAGATCTGACAGGCTCGGAGACAGCAAACGATGAGGAGGTGCTCAGCCCAGCCCCAACATGTGGTAGGTCACAAAGGAGGAGAGTGCCACCGGCTTACCTCAGTGACTATCAGGTCGGCTACAAAGTCGATTGTAAGCATCACAGTTTCAATGCGCCGATGACACTTGCATTGCTCAATAACTTTTTCCTGTCATTACAACAACAGATTGCTGGGTTAGTGCAATTTCTGTCGGGTGATAGTGACGGGGACGTCACACTTTAAGCAGGGGTGGATGTAACCCAGTGTTAATTTGGTTATCTGATATTGTGTGATATTCAGTATATATCTATATATCTATATATCTATATTGGGTGTTATAAAATGTTCTTCAATGATTTTGAGTTTTTTTTTATTGCTATTGGTTTGCGGCTGCTTTATGACAGTCGACTGTGGTAGTACATCCTAGCGGGAGGGGCTATGAGCTCACGTGGCTTGTAGCTGTGCCAGAGAGCAAGGTTGGGTGAGCTAGCGGGGAATATCTCCTTCTGCAGTAGCCTTAAAAAAAAGACTATTGTTCGTACTCCTGCCAGACGCCTCGCTGCTGTGCTGCCTTACTACTGTGCTGTCTCGCTGGTGCCATTAAAGGACAAGCGGCTGCCATCCCTTCATCCATCCGGACCTTGATTATTTGGACCGAAGTACTCACACACACGCCCGCACTCAGTGCCATACAGTCTCTTTATTTTGCTGGCCAGCTAACATCATTGTTTTTTTTCTTTTTGCATTCACAAAGACTATCCAAAGACATTTTGGTTATTGTCAAATAGACACTCTCTGATTACGGACTGAGGAGGTTGTGGTGTTACAACCCCAGGACTGAGAAAAAGGACTCTTTACATAATATATTCAATTGTCTCCTGGTTAGGAGAAGTGACTATTGATGGAAATATTTTTCTTCTTCTTGTCTTTGTTTACATTGTATCCCAGAGAAGTTTTAAGTTGACTTAAAGTCGGTGAAGTTTCCTTTGATATATCAGTGTCAAGCTGATGTTTAAGAGGGTATGTTGAGGACAGATGTGCTCTAGTCCATCAATCCTTTAAAGCGCTGGACACCGATGGTAAATTGCCATCAGACCCTAAATAAATTGTCCTCTGCTGTTATCCATATTGCTTCACTCATTCTTTGGTGAGTAGACGTATTGGTTACAAAAGCAGGAAATGAAACATATGTTTCCAATCAAACTTCATTCTAAGATAAAGACTAGAAAATATATTGAAGCATATCTTCCCGTTGGCTTCACCTGCACAAGTGCCGAGGTAGGTCTCCCCTGCAGAATTGGTTTTCCCTTCATTGGGAGCAGCGCTGGGCTGTTCAAATCACGGACAAACAGTATCCGACATTCTTGATTTTTAGTTCACAAACACTTGTTGTAATGACTAACTACTCCTGATCTTTTGGAGATGTTAGCTCTTTATACAGTAAAGTTACAGCGGGATACAAATAATATCAGGCTGATCCTGCCACGATTTGTTCCCCCTGTCTAAATCACGAACAAACAGTATCCCACAGTTGTTTATGTTTTTAAACCCATTTCGCACAGAGAGGCATTTTTTGAAAAATTTATTGACAGAAATGTTGAATATTATTACACAGGAAAAAAAACCCAACAACTACACGTAAAATAATCACACCGTGACGCCTCTGCCTTTCTAAATGGAGGGACAGTGACTGCGTGTTTATATGTAAGCGTGTAAAAACTGAAGATAGAGGAAAAAATACTCTTTCTGTTAATCTGCCATTCTGCAATTCATCTCATGTAAACAATAACATGGCACACAGCGTGACGTGAAAAAAGGCACATACATTTGACTTTGCGTGACGAACTCTGTATTCCTCGTCCACACGTAAACGCAAAAAAGGAGTTTTAAAAAGTCTCCGTTTTCGGTGATTCAAAACACCGTTTACGTGTGGACGAAACAGCTGCGTTTTCAAAAATACCCGTGTAGGTGCGGACGTAGTGTAAAAGAGTTAGTAGTTTATTTTATTACAACCTGTCATTTATTCCAGCTTAACTTGTATTTGCTTAATTGTTTACTAAATGTTTGAGGTGTGAAATAAACCGCAATGGAGCAAAATAAGGGTGTGTGTGGTTGGAGGATGTGTTTGAGCGTGCGTGTGTGCGCACGCGAGGGGGACATTTTTCTTGTAAAACAAAGGGGGGTCTACCAAAAAGATTCAAAAAGGATTATTTTACAGGAATTACGATTAACAGGGCGAGAGTCTGGAGCTGAGAGAATCTCAGGTGAGTGTCTATTCCCTGCACTGGAACCATCTTTTACCAGAAAGGAGAAAACAGATTAGTTTTGTCCAGACCTGCACTGAGGAATAGTGTGCGGTGCTAGCCTGTACAGACCTTTGCACATCTATAGTACCTTGCTGAATCCCTGAATAGAAAACAGACGTGGCTACGGGAGGTGTTTTAGCTCAAACTTGGTTGGATCGAGATCAGATCACGTTGACCTCATAAATGACCATAAAGACATACAGAAAATCTTCCACAAAACCTATTGGTCTACATTTAGCCTGACTACTAAGCCAGCAGCAATCAATTTGACAAAAAGAAGGTATATCAATATGTATATATTAATATATGCTGGTTTTTGCACTGAATTACTGAGCAACTGAAATGACCTCACATATATTAACTCAGCAGGGGTAAAATAATATTTGCCGAAGCACAGAAACTGTTAAAGAAAGCAAGCTGTGACAAGAAATAAAACAAGAAAGCAGTCTTTCTTGTTTTATTGTTTGGCAATTCCTCCAAAGCACCTGTTGTGGAGACATTACTGATAGTCTGGAATAATAATTAGTCTTGTTAAGAACTGTGCAACACTCATTTGTGTTGCAGTTTCACAGAATCGCTTTATCCAGATGAGATGATACCAAAAGTGGCCACTAGGTGCCACCATGGAGCTGGTCATAAGAGCACTTCAAAGTCTTGACACAATCAAACACAACTTCATCAGATGTTTCAGTGTTTGTCAAAGCCTCACTTTGACCATCATTTATTATAGCCAACTATTTCTCGCTTAAGCCAACTTGGATGTTATTAAGAGGCAAGGAAAGAAATGATGCTAGCAAAGGTTTAAATTTCATTAGGGACTGAAACAAACCCCAGAGAGCCTGATTACTATGACAAATGCAAAACAATTTGGCAAGGAATTTTGGAACGACCTCGTCTTTAAATACAGGGAGATAAAAAAAACTGGGTGCAAACAGTTGCATCAGCTGAAGAACGGGAAACTGGAACACGTTACTGATGTGCGGATCGATCCTGAAATATCGATTCATCCAATACCAATCATTTATGTTCTAGAATCGATTCTCACATTAAAATATCGATATTTTAGTAATTTAGGGTAAATTTGTAGTTTATCATTAACAGGAACACAGTGGAAAGAAACTATAACATTC